CATAGACAACGGCTCGGGCCTGATCAACGCTGGCGTCGCTGGGGAGAAGCACCCGTGGGTCACCTACACCAATGTGGTTGGCCATCCCAAGGACGGATCGGCGGCAGGCCGGAAGGACTGCTACGTTGGGAACGAAGCGCAGGCCAGGAGAGGGATCCTTGCCCTCAGGTATCAACCAGAGGAGCTGTAAAGCCCAAGGAAATGAGAGCAGAGTAAGATAGGGGTGTTTTCCAGCTGGTGCCAAGGAAGGAGCGAGCCAGTAGGACGGGCAGGACAAAGCAGGTAGGGCAGCCAAGGGAGGCTGCTGCTGGGAGGGAGAGGCTGTAACATGCTGGTGTTATTAGAAGTCGGAAGATGAGAGACAGCCGCAGCTGAAGAGAAGAAAGGGAGTAGTTTGGCACTGCTAGCCTGGCGGGGCAGGACCGTAGTAAAGCGGCAGGCATGGGCTGTAGGCAAGCCGGGAGCTGTACAGGGAGCACCTCGCCTCCGCCAGGGTCTCCTGGGCAGGCCGCTCGCGGCGGAGAGGGTTTGGAAGGGCAGGAAGTGACTCACCCTCCTGGATTTTCGTATACACCAGGCGCTGAGATGCCTAATCCTGGAAGGAGCTAGAGAAGGAAGCTTAACTTTGCCATCCTTTGCAAAGAGAAACATGAGCCAAACCCCAGCCAGTGGGAGGAGGAGTGAGGAAAGCCAAGAGAAACAAAATAGAAAAGGGAGAACAGCTCCAGAGGAAGGTAGTGACAGGGAAGGGAAAGGGGAAAAAAAGCTGGAGGTGGGCAGTCTGGCAGCGGCTGCCGCGAGATTTCTTAACCCATCTTAACCCACGCAGAGGTTTCTAATGGTTACAGGGATGTGTATGTAATCAGCACCGCAAAAGAGCATCCTTACTAACGCTTTTCATGCTTGTAGCATATTTCAGGTCCATGTGGAAGGCACCTGTGGGAACGCACTTGTGTTCCTGGCGTTACAGCAGCGGTACTTCACCACGATCACGAGATCCTCTGTGCACAGCTGTAACAGCCAGCTCCAAAAGGCTGACATCGCAGCCACATCTTCACCCAATCCCATATTGCCCCAGTATTAATAATAACCATTCTCTTCCTGCAAGGTCTTCAGCAGTCATTGAGAATTACATTTTAATGATTGTAAAGGAAGTAATGAATTAAGATTTATTTATATCAAACTGTTCAGCCTTAGCTTGACAACCACGCTCAAAGAATGAAGGTTCTGATTAGGTACCATCACAACTGCAACCTTCTCTGAGGTCCTGACTCATCTCAGCTCTCACAACTGCTGAAGCTGTCTGACCTTTGAAAGGGCCAAGTCTCTTTCCAGTGCTTTCTCAAAGCAACATGCATAATTGAAAGGTATGCAAAGGGCTTACATAAGGTGCTTTTTCTTCGTGTTCTTCACCTAGGACATGCCCCAGGAGACGGCCTTGCCCAAGGGGAGATGCTAGCGTTGCCATGGAGCCTGGAGTAAAGAATACTGCCCTTTTATTTTGTTTGACTCCTGCAGGTACCCAATAGAGCGCGGGATCATCAACTCCTGGGAGGATATGGAGGCCGTGTGGAAGAACGTCTACGACAATGACCTGCAGATGCAACCTAGTGAGCAGCCCGTGATTCTGACCGAGGCCCCGCTCAACCCTCTGGTCAACCGAGAGAAGATGACCGAGCTCTTCTTTGAGCGCTTTGACGTACCAGCTCTCTATGTGTCTATCCAGGCCGTGCTCGCGCTCTACGCTTCGGGACTCACCACGGGCTGCGTGGTGGACTCCGGTGACGGTGTCACCCACAGCGTGCCAATCTTTGAAGGCTACTGCTTGCCCCATGGTGTCCTCCAGCTTGACCTGGCTGGCCGCGATCTTACAGACTACCTAACACAGCTTCTGAGAGACAGCGGCACTTCACTAGACACCGCAGCTGGGAAGCAGCTTGTACAAAACATAAAAGAAAAATTATGTTATGTGTGCCTGAATCTAGAGGAGGAGATGGCTAAGAAACCTAGTGAAGTGGAAAAAACTTACCACCTTCCTGATGGCAATGAAGTTAAGGTTCAGGATCAAAGGTTTCGTTGTCCAGAAGCCCTTTTTTATCCTCATAACATTGGTGTAGAGGCACCAGGGATTGACAAGCTCTGCTTCAGCTCTATCACGAAGTGTGACGTTGGCCTGAGGGCTTACTTCTACTCCAACATCATCCTTTCTGGTGGTTCCAGCCTCTTCCCTGGAATTGCTGAACGCTTCAACAAGGAGATGGTCCACATGGTCCCGGGTGATGTTAAGGTGAAAGTCAGTGCTCCTCCTGAGAGGAAGTTTTCGGCTTGGATAGGAGGCTCTATCCTTGCCTCCCTGAGTGCCTTTCAGCAAATGTGGATTACCGTGGCAGAGTACAGGGAGGTGGGGCCTAACATCGTGCACAGAAAATGTTTCTAAAGTACACGTGATTTTGGATGGATTTTACGGAACGTATTGTGGAGAAGAACCTCAGATTACAGCTGCCTGGACACTAGTGTCAAGGGCGTCTGTGCCTGTAGCCTGCCTTTTGAAAGCCCAATAAAAATCATGACTTTCCGCATAGTTACTTCCTTCTGAGTCCCAGAATACACCACCTTGAATACATGTAAAACATAGGTTGTTAACGCGGTTCTTTGCCTGTACAGCGTATAACTAAGGTTAGAAAGACAGAGCGCGCTACGCTATGGCTTCATGTGAGCGTAAGCCCGTTTTACCTGCGGGGTGTGTGGGGGGGAACCCTGTAGCTTTGCAGCTCCTTGCTTTTCCACGGAAATCCCGGGGTCGAATCCTAAACACGGGAAGGGCCTTTCGCAGGAGGGGCCGGGGCCGGGTCCTCCGGAGGTGGGTGGGGGGGAGGTCCGGTGCCGGCGCGGCTCG